TACTTTGGTAGTTGAGAGAACTCTCACTTATGCTTGAGAATGATGCTAGGAAAATATTAGGTAGGCAGGAAAGTTCGTCGATGAGAGGTTCCTTCGAAACGTGAAGCCTTCGCATGAAGAAAGCCAATTGCCAGCAGGGGTGGTGGTTGGTGGGTAGGTGGTGGGTGCCAGCAGGCTGGCCAGCTTCTCTCCCCGTGAAACGTCGGCATTGTCATAACTTTTGACGATTTCTTTTATGCCGAAGAAGTTTCTGAATAGAACTTTTTTATTGATGGCCTGATGTTTCGACTGGATCGTCTTTAGCAGAGGCCTATTCTATCACTGCGGTGGTCGTGAGCTCATTTAGTTGTTGGTACAATGAGCAGCAAGTTTAATGATATTCTAAAGCTCACTGAAATCCAGTACCAAGAAAATATGGCGAGGGCGGCACGTGTGGTTTTGCAGGTTCTTCCTGTGCTTGAGAAAAAAATGCTTGTTGACATCCTTGACGCTTTGCTCTTAAAGTGAGCCTGAAGGACTTTTCTGCAGATTTGGTCCGCAGAAAAATCCTTCGGGCTCACTTAAAAAGCAAAGCGTTTTATTGGTGGCCTGAAATCTGGATTCCTTGCGATAGCGTGAAATCAGGCGTTTTCGGCTCCGACGCAACGCAGAGACACCAACCTAACCAAAGTCTAACTTCACCAGTGCAAGGATCTCTCATTCTTGTGAGATATAATAGGATCGATCCACAGTGATAGGTGAACGTAAGGAAAACTGTCGCAGCTCCTGATCACGTAGACCAACTACAGGAAATGTCCGGTGCATCTTGAGGAAAGCGTCAGGGATGATAATAGGCGTAGCTAACTTATTCCAGGGCCGTCCTAGTATCGTTTTGGTCACTTTCGAAAACTCGTCAAGGTCCGCAGAGCTCAGCCTCCGGTCGCTCGCCCACGACAGTATTCTCCAAGCGTGCGGCTTCTAAGACCACCTTCACTAAAACACTACTTGCTAGGAATCGAATTTAGAATCTCTTATGACTTCAAGATGGCAATCTCAAAGGCGCGTTCCGCGTTCTTTTGATGATCAGGCGCCCTTCTCTGGATATGGTAGTCTTGCCTCAAGCGTGAAGGGTGTGCTGATCTTGCTGCAGCTTCGGAAGTACGTGGGAAAGCGCGACAGGCTCACGACGAGGTTATTTCCCCGCCCACTCACCACGATAACGCCCATCTTAATTTCTAAAGGTATAGGGTCTTGGTGTTCCGTTCGTTCCGCTACTAACTATCCATTTTGAATGGTGAGGGTGAGGTGGTGAGGGGAAAGAGCTGATATCGCTTTTTGAAAAGTTGGCTTTTGGTGCGTTTGAATTCGGTGAGTTTTTGTCCTATTGGCGAACTTTCTTGCCAGCCTAGTAATTAACATGCTGACGTTTATTGACACGAGCGTTGGTTTTCCAGGAGTTACGGTAGTGTCTTTTGATACTGAAACTAGCAAATAACTGGCAAAAAGCAAATACCTAGAAGCATAAGCGTATCATGTTAAACATTTTTATGATAACAATTTGTATTCATTTTTGTACGTTATTGGAATTTCAAAGCGTCAGATTATTATCTTTTATAGGGGGTAGGGTATAGCAGAAATTGACAGCCAGCTTCATATTGTGGAATAAAGGATGTGGTGATCTTTTGTCAATGCAATCTTGAGTCGTGTCCTTTCACGCACTTGAACTACCTCTTTAATTTCGTGATGCTGTTTTTTGTGATTTTGATAGCCTTCATTTGTCTTAATTGTCGGAGTTTCAGTTGTTTACGTTTCCATATGAACCCATTTGATCCTAAGGTACGTGCGCGAAACGCTGTAAGGGCTGGTAAGTACTTTGAAACCTTCTTCAGAACACCTTTTTGATGTACCAGAAAAGTATCTATGGTGGCATAAAAAAGGGTTGACTGCTTGACGAGCCTTGTTATCCTCATTTATTGATTTACTACCAGTAAACAGACCCTGGAAAAGAGACATCTGTAAGAAGGGGTCGATGGATTTGACCGGCGTGAATTAAAGCGCAGCCAGAACGGCCACCGATTTTTTCGCGCTCAATATGACATCATTGGTGGAAGAGGGGGTCCTCGCTGCGCTTCAACCCACGCCCCCTCTCACGCCCTCTTGTTTGCAGAGGCAATGACTGCACACATTTTCATTCTTTGCTAGTATACATAGTGAAATTTGGTCGGCAGTTGTGGTACACCTGAATTCTTTTTTTCAGAACTGTTTGCTATCCGTCATCCTGAGACAGTTACCCAGATCAGTGAATACCGAGATCAACGGTTTCAGGTGGTGAACAGGCCCTTATAGAGACGTTATCGGATGAGCTGGCTTTTTTATAAGAATTATTTTCAGGGTACTCTAAAAGAACAAGATTTGGCGTTACGTACGTCGACAACAGTTTATGTAGGAAATTTGTCATTTTACACGAGTGAAGACCAGGTATACCTTTTCTACTCTCATAACTCTTTTAAACAGAAGAACTAAAAGTGGGTTTACTGCCTGATGAGACCATGAATGACTTGGGGGAACCAGCCCATGCACATTTGAGGATTGTTATCCTCTACATGGCATACAGTCCTCATCATTGCGGACTGTCGGAGGGCGGCTGTGCAACGCGGTCCAAATGGGCGTTCGGCCTCGTTGCTCTACCAATGGCGATCGGGTAAAGATCGATTTAGGGAGGGAGCAACCAATGATGGAAACGCCGCAGGTGCGAGCCGCTGATTGCGACCCGACAATTGCGGTGATGTAAAGTGTAGTAAAGGTCTCATGTAAGCTCCCGAGTTCTACATGGCTTAGCAGAGGTCTCATGTAAGCTCCCTCGTACCAATGGAACAGTGGCTCAGATGAAGGCGAAAACTGCACCTCCTGTGGATCCCGGTCCTTGCGATGTGCACGATGGTGAGTGGACGATGGTGAGTGGACGAGAGCTGCAGTGTCGCATTGCCTTTTCCGCTCGAAAGTGCACGGGAGCGGATTTAATTTGCAGTTAGAGGTCAAAAGCATCCAGAAGTAAGAGGGTGCAAACCTGGCTATGCCAAACGTGTGGGTGGCCGTCCGGCACCGCAAGTGGAGTCGGAAGACGGCACACGTGTGTCCCACCCTCCAGCTCCCTTCCCGAGCTCTTTTGAGCGAGAATTTGGCACGTTACTGCAGTTGCAGACCCTCAGACCCCTATTCCGCTCAAGAACCACGATCCTTGAGGTGGAAGGTCATCCTGCTCTCGTGAAACTTGATTGAATTAAAAATCAGTTCGAACCACTGCAACGCAAAAACAGCAACGAGAATATGAGTGGTGGTAATGGTGAGGGGGAGGGCGAAATTTCATTTCCAGATTCGGGGCAAATTTCTAGCGAAATCTAGACCAGAGGACAAATTCCAATAGAACCACAGGCCAAAATTTGAAAAGTGAGATCATGAAGTAATTTTTTGATAGACCCACTCGAGAGATCAGTTGGATGTGGGCCTTATGACAACACTCTTTCTGATTTGCACCAAATTTGTATTCTTTCAGTTGTATGAACTGTTTAACCGTGCCGGAGAAGTCAAACGAGTCATCATGGGTCTCGATCGTTTCAAAAAAAGTCCATGCGGTTTTTGCTTCGTAATGTTAGTCCCATGCTTTTACTAGCTTTGTCAGTGCAATATCACGAAACGATGAAGTGGTTCCAAGTGAGTAGTTGCTTTTGATTCCAGTTATTATACACGGGCGGATACCGAGAATGCCGTCCGTTTCCTGAATCGTACAATGCTGGACGGTAGGATCATCCGAGTTGACTATGACGCCGGCTTCGTGGAAGGGCGCCAGTACGGACGAGGAAAACATGGTGGACAGGTGACAACAGGCTTTTTCTATTTTTATTGTTGTGATTCAAAATAGAGGTCGGCGGAATGCTCTGTCATATTTTTTGAGATCGCCAACCTAACTGAGCGGTTCCCATACTCGATGTTCAGGTCCGCGATGAATACCGTGAGCAATACGATCCCGACAGAGGCGGTTATGGTAAAATTTGGCAAGATAGGGAGCGGTTGTGATTCTTTATCAATGGATCTGTTGGAGACTTAGAAACTATTTTCTTACTAACGTTTGCATTTCGTTTTTTTTTCTTTTTTCTCAACTGCATGACAAAGAACGGTTTTTTCTAACATTATCTCGTTTCTTAAGCTCACACTCTTCTCCAGAAGCATTGAAAATGTTCGTGTCCGTTCAACGGCTTTGTGTCGTGTAAGGACAGACGTGTACCTATTGCCTGCGATGTGCCTAAAAGGAGCTGTAATTATTGTTTGCTTTAGGACACCCATGGTAGAATCCTTTTTTCGAGCGACAAAAAGCGGCCAATTACATCCGTTCTTTACCACTATTGTCTGGTAAGGATACTACAAATTAGTACCGAATAGATGACCTGCATATGAGATGCAGTTCGGCTTGGTGGGGGCAGATGCAGTGCTACTCACCTAAGCTTGTACAGGATACCCTGTGAAGACATGTAAATTCTTATGACCAAGGCAGCTCAATCAATCGATTTCGCATTCCACAGAAATTTTTACAGGGTTGAACAAAGTGACACCTGTTAGGTAACATGAACCAGCAAAAGGAACGTGTGAAAGTGCAAAATACCCCCTTCAAGCAGAACAACGCCAATATTTCTATTTTCTAAATCGTGACGGAGGACCGCTTATGTGTAGCGTGTGCTGACAACGGGTTGGCGAACTGAACCTGTGATTGGTGGACTTGAGTAATTGTCGAATTATGGGTCATTCGAGCACGTAGGCAGTGGATACATTTCCGACGTTACTCGATCAAAACAACTGAACGGACACTGTTAGCAAACTCATCCTTTTGCTTGTTTGTTTCTTCTCACTTCTTTGCGTACTTTGTGATCTTCTTCATAACTATTTTGCAATAGAACCCGGTAATTATTTTGAAGATGTGCGTCTTGCATTCTTTCATGATTTGTTGTTGTTATTGTTTATTGTTAACGTGCGCCTTGGCTGGCTAGACTGTTTTGAACTCACTCCTTTTATATCAAGAGATTTCATATTGGATTTCCCATGAAGGTTGAATTTTAAAAAATATTAGTAATAAAAATGACATTAAATTCAGTGGAACCATGGAAATAAGTGCATTTATAGACAGAGAACTGGAGATCGACTAGCTTCGGTTCGTAACGACAGGCTGCCGTTGTATGTAGGAATGACGTTAAATTTTTGGGGCGACGGCCAAGACAATCGTAATTGCCGTGCCGTCAAGTGCGGCAGTGGTCGCGATAATTCAAGTAACATGTTGGTTGACATCAGAGCATCGCATGTGAGGCTGCGGACTAGCTAGTTGTCCCATCCAGCAGGCGACATAGCTGACCACGCCCTTCGCTGGTGGGCGTGGCCGACTCGTCACGTGGCGTGGAGCGTTAAGGAGTGCGGACAACTTGAACTCAATCCCTTTAAACGCGTCGATCTCTTTTTCTCTGCACTCTTTCGTCCGCGTGGCACTCTATGGCCGTTGTGATTTCGCTCACTCCAGCTTTTAACCGACTATAAGTATAGTGTAGTTCATTGCGGACGGTTGGGCGTGTTCGTGCGGCTGCGTTTGGCGCGGTGCCAAACTCGTTCTCCACGAGTTGTTCAAGCGAGCAAATGACAATACTGTATCATATTACTTGTTTTCTACTGCTTTTTGTCGCATGCCCGTTTCAACAAGAAGGCAGAGAACAGCTCAAAGAGGGTGACACACTCATACTGGCTGACACGCCCAACCGTCCGCAGCGAAGTAGAGTGTAGCTCACCCACCCCGGAGTCATCTCCCCTTGAAAAATTTCGTTTCCTGGCTCGCCATACGTTTTTTGCACGTTTTTTATGCTCTACATCGCTGGGTTTCGCAACAGTACCATGTACAAAAGTTCAAGATGTCACGTAACCCTGAAAGAGCAGACCCAGAGAGAACCGACGCGCCGCACAGCGCTATTTTGAGTGGTTTGGGTCCTGGTGTGATTGTTGCGTCACCCTGCTTGCTATACTCTCATGGTCAGTTCCAAGAGATGGACTGAATTGAATGGTTTGTGCCTCACTCTACCAGCATTTCTGTTAGTAGATTGGGATGCTTCTCAGGTGAAGAAGTAAAAAGATCCATCAGTCCAGCCCTTTTTGGTGTGCGCCATGAATGTTTCCCACCATTCAAAATTGTAGTGGGATTTGAAAGCAGGGATTCATGGGCTTGCTCTCCGCCATTACACAGCCTGCGTGATTAGTCTGCAGCCATGGATTCACCGTTTCAAAAAGTTGAAGAACGTGACCACCAATAGAAAATTGAATTTTTATCAGCATAAAAATATCGCCTACGAGAAACACACAAACTCCAAAGTACGAGACCTGAACGGCCAATCAAGACTAGACAAAATATTGACAGTGTTATTAATCTATAAAATTCATAGTACTCTCATATCCCCTACAGAGCAAATTTTCCTACAATGTTAAACAAATGCAATAAAAGTTGAGGTAAAAAAATAACGGGTGGGGCAGACACCCTTGAAGCAGTAAGTTGGTAGATTACATTACACAGTGAACAGTAAGCAGTGATGAAAGATTTCCGTAAATCTAGAATTTCAAAGAAGGAAACAAGCACAACCGTCTAGTAACCGGTGAATATTCAATAATAGGTTAACTACCTAAAGATAAGCGATTAAAAGCAATATGTAGTGATCAAAAGGACCCGTAACACTTCGAACGAGTGCAGCTTGCTGATTTCGATCGAAAGTCCCGCTAATACTCAGGAGCAAACTGGTGTTCAAACTTTGCGCGCAAGAGTGTGCTCGCGAGTGGAAAGGAACATAACCTGCTTGGTTCTTCCAAATGTATAGTTCGATTGTTGGGCGGAGTCAGGCCTAGTATTGCTAATTTCTGACTGGCGCAACTAAGACCGAAAATGTAAGCTGTCACCCGCTTTAAACCCGTAGCGATTGCGCTTGGTGTGATTGGAAGATTTCATGAGCGTTCTGTAGAATGATCTCAGCGGCTTGTTGAAATTTTGCCGTTCCAGAGGACATTTCGAGAAAGTCGTTGAATTGTGGCCTGAAATACAGAGAGGATACGACGCGTAGTAAAGTAGTCGAAATCTTAGAATCACTGAAAATCAAATATACATAAATTCAACAAGACTTCAGAATTAATGTTAAATTTTGATCTTCATTCTGAGCTTCAGAACATCTCGAACCGCATTCAAAGCCAAGGGAAAGGGATAGCCGAATGGATAAGTGTGGGCTCATGTCTGCACTCTCAGCCTAGTTCGATCCCCGTCTAGGAACAAAGCGTGTCTTGTAAATATTACAAAAATTGTCCCGATGCCGGCGTCAGATCCAAGTTGACACCGTCTGATTAGGAATCCAGTCACAATATGGCTAAAGTCGCACTAGCCGGTTGTGTGGGTAACAAGGACAAGAGAAGCGCAGTGGCTTACTGGAACCAGAGGGTTCGCATCTGTCGTGACCAGTTAACACTAAACTCGAACTGATTAACTATGGCCAAAGTTTACCAGAGGAAAAGCGAGCTGGAAAAAAGCTGATCGGTGTCTGTATAGCCCATCTAAGGGACAAAGTATTAAGTCTTCTCCATTGATTAATCCCTTTGTGGGCACGCATTCTACTTCCATTCAGAATCGTAGTGGCTTATTGAATGCGATGTGGCCTATACAATGACTTGCGGGGCCAGCCGATGTACAAGTCAGTGTTTTATCCTCCCAGACGAATCTGGTACCAATTCACCTCCGAGTAGAAGGCTTCGTTGGCCTGGGGGGAAATATCGGCCTCCGACCAGGACGCGAGCGAGTGTAAGAGCGTCAGCTTTCACAACACTTCCTATAGCCCAGATGCTCATTCAAATATTCATATGGATTCATCGTTGAAGCCGAGTACGGAGCCCACACAAGGAAAACTGATTAAGGCTAACTGCTTGTTTTGTTTTGGTAAGTCAGCGTCATACGAGTACGGTTGTCGTCTCGAACCATGGATTCGGTATAAGAGGCTATGCTCACTTAAGATTAGGTTGTTCGAAAAAAGTCCTGCCGACACTTTGACAATTTTCAGGAGCTAAATTTTTCAGTCACTAAAAAATCTGCAAGTACTAATCACCCTAAGGAATAGGATTAGTGCCTTTCTTTGCCACGCTTCCATTTCCATTCTTATAGAACTACGGCAACTATGATAAGAAGAGGTGGACCTCATTTTTGAGTAGACGTCGATTTTCGGAATTTTTGCCTTCTTAAGGATGCGGTAGGGATCAAAAAAGGTAGTAGTTAGAGACTGCTAACTTTGATGAATAAGCTTGGGTAGGTATACGATAGACAAACTTATAGTATCAAGATCCACAATCTTATTGATGTGTCCTGATCTAAGTGCTGGTCTTGCATGTCCAAGCGGTAAAGAAGAATGAAGTATTTTAGGAATTTCAAAGCTGTACGTCATCCATGCTGTTAGTTGGTTAGAGTAGGCTGTTAAGTCCTTACGTTATGCTAGTATCAGAGCATAACTCTCTGTGTGAGATAACCTACTGAAATTTGGGTATCCAATGCAAATCTCTTTTGGCTAGCAATCTACTTTCTGTTTGAGAGATCCTGCGAGGAATATGTTGACACGAATGTACTCAAAGGACCCTCACCCATTCTATACCAACACAGATCTACAAATAGTTTCCTCCAGTGGTAGTACAAGGAAAAAAAACTCAAGTCACTGGTCATTCGTATTAACTTTCAGAGGACTAACTAGAGGCTCTTCATAAAAAATTTTCGATAAAACCGAGAATCGGAGAAGATGGCGTTGTCGGTAGTGGAGCCCTGAGAGCTTGCACTTAGGAGTTGTGTTAGTTCGGCTGCAGCTCAAGAGCGTTGAGTAAAGGCCTGTCATTCTAGTGCTGGGGGCCGACTATAACTTGCTACTGCGAGTTTGACATAGTTCCGCCTTGAAGCCGCTGAGATGCGCAAAAGGAACTCTCTGCTATGGCAAGCGACAATACTTCCCAAACCCACTATGTAAGTTGTAGCTTACCCTCGACTATGCGAATGCTGCCCTACAGAAAAACTCATACATATGGGATAGTCGAGGAAAGTACCATGCGATCTCTGGAGCTCATATTTTAAGCTTTTGAACAACTTCCACGGAGCCATGATGTATACTCCGGATTCAGAAAACCCCAGGAGACTTTCTCATCAATCAGAGATAAAACATTCATAAAAATAATTATATTGCGTCTTTTAGTCGGTCTAGAGTAGTGAAACAAGTCGCAGGACTTTTCGAAAACTAATAGTAGATTATACAATTGGCTTAATAAAGCGACAAAGTTAGAATTTGATGAGAAATTTCAGGGGATTTTATTTGGTTGTGGAGGGCAAGAAGCTGCTTTCGTTAGAAAATTTTTCCAGAATTTTTCTGAATTGCTAGCCCCCCCTTCCCCCCCCCGAGTGGCTAATATGCTCTCCCTACTACTCGAGGATTTGGAATACACAGTAGCTGAGGTATACGTATCTTAATAGACTGATTAGTGTTATTTTACACTCCCACTCGCTTAATGGCCAAAATCTCGGTCGGTTAAGTTTCGAAAAAACAGATCGGACGGGAAAGAGGAATTGGAGCATAGGGGATGTTTAAGAAAAAATTCTTTGCGGCCCCACAGTGACCCTGGATCGCAAATAAATATACAACTCTCAATCACTGCGGGGCTGCTGAGTGTGTTCAGGAGGCTGGATTTGGGCGCTCGCGTTTGTTCTCAAGTTTGGTGTTCGAGGCAGGCGAGCGGCAACATAATTGGGGCAAGACGGGTTGAGCCTTAGACAAAAAGCCTCCCGCACTGCACCAGGTCCACAGCGACAAGACTATATAATGGGAAGCCTACTTTACGGATGACAAATATTCAGAGAATGGCCGCTTCTATCCTTTTTTTTTATCGCAAGTACTGATTTTGGGTGCCCCTCTCCTGACTTCCAAATAAATACAAATTACAGTCAAGTATCAAGTAGTGAGTATATATCGTCTCAAGAGCATCATACTCGAACCACGTGGAAAAATATTTTGAATTTTAGATATCCATTGCTGGTGCTGGTGAAGAGCGACTAGAATAATCTCTTGATCATTCGAATGATTATTGAAACAAGAGGTTCAACTTAATCTTTGTAAATGAATGTGAAATATATGAGTACGTTGCGATCTCACTTAGGTGTCAATCGAATCATAACTGCATGCAGTCGATACTACAGATATTAGTTGTCGTACTTTCTTGGCATACATTGTAGTTGCGTATTTACAGAGTATGGGTCAAAGAGCTCTCAATGCTGTATGGTGCCGTTCATGGAGTAGGAATAGGACGACAATATGTATTCTGTGAGTGCAATCATGGCAAAGCCATCGGGAGAGGAGGGGGGGGTGCGAATAGAGGGTGGATAGAAAATCCCTAGTACAGTAACCTACAGAGCTCACATAGATATGCGGAGCAATCGCAACTGATCATCTTTCGCAATGCGCCAGCCCACTTTCGACCCCAAGTTTTAACCCCTGACGCACTGTAGCGAATCTATTGTTGCCATTATTGCAACAGACGGCCGTGGCAAAAACCCAAACCACTCAGTTATTTAAGTTCAGGATTCTATGTAATCGTGTAATCAACGTTTTCTGCAAACAGTAGGAAGGTTCTTCACGCGAGTCGCAACGAGGGCACTGCATGTCGAGGACTGGCAATATCCAATCCAACCTGAAATTGTGTCGTAAGAGAAATCAAGTGAGAAATATACAATCAATGGAGGAAAATGATGCTCTACAAAGATTCGTTAGGCTGCAGTATACAGAAACTATTCGTGCTATGTGAAGTTCCTAAGTAGCGACTGGATTACTACCATCGGAACCATGGCGGCTCAAACATTTGAGGTCGGCGCGGATGACGCCCGATGCAGCCGTTTTGGCTTGCGCAAGCACGAAGTGTAGGTCCAGATGTTTAATAGTTATGTTATGCTGTTGTTCCTTGAGAAGAAAATATTGGTTGGGAATAAGTTCTTTCGGTTTTATTTCAAAGGGCTTATTGTCATGTTGGTTTATTTGTTTGGCAAAGTGATTGGATTCCGCATAGGAAGTCTTTATCTCTACAAAAGTGTTATTTGTTAATTAGAGATATTCCTTTTTTATTTTCAAAGATTAGAATAGCATACCCAGGAGGGCAAAATGACAATTCAATACTTCTATCTTAGTTTTCGTGTTCATCGCACTCAAAAGCAGTTAAGCCGACTCCTTAAGTACGAACGGTCGAGGTATTAGTTGCCGAAACCGCGCACAGCCACAAATGTTTGCCCAAATTCGGAAAACGCGCATTTGTTCTCGACCGAAGCCTCGCCCCCAGCGACCATGCAGGTTCGAATGATGAGCATATCAGGCGTTTTGAAGGGGCAAGAATCGGTGCAAAGTCGGAATGACAAAAAAAATGAAACTGCAGTCATAAGACGATCCTCTCTATCTCTCTCGAATGAAACAGACTTCGATCAATGTATGGGATTCTTCCAGAACTCCCACCCGCATACTCCCCTTGCGCCAACAACTTATCTTTTCTCATTCAAACCAAAGAGATGTACCCTGAAGAAAAGAAACTCCAAAATGGTATACCTTCTTCCGCGAACCGTGGCTGATTTTTGGCGGGAAAAGGATCAACAAATAGTCGAAAGTGGGGAGTCGTAACAATGACTAGAGTCGAATACATGGTTGATTATAATTACTGTTAAATATTGTTTGTTCCAATTAATGTCTTTGAAACAAAAATATCCTCAAGTAATAATGAATAGGTACGCTCCTCTGACCTGGGACCCGATATCTGCCCTTAGTGAGAGGGTATAGGTCCGGGCAGTGGACTGCAGCTGTCATCAATCCCGGCAGCCAAGCACAGACATTAAAATGCGCACGCAAACCACAGTCTATCATATTCCAAATGCGTGTCTCTTGCCGTTCTCTTACTTTCGTTTATTTCGGTTTACTTTCCTGTGTATTAGCGAGGCCGGATCTGCGATACAAGTGCTCACTTTTGAGTAGCAGCCAGACGTTATCGTTTCATTTTGTGTACTTATTAAGCGTACCAGGCAAAATGTAAGTCTCCGTCACATTTTGCTCGGCAACCGTTGACCTACATATGGAAGATCTACCCGTTTCAGTTTGTATTTAATCTTACTCGAGGTTGGAAGTGGTGGGCGGCCAGTTGCATAAATCATCAAGGAACCAATATAAGCCAAGACACAAGCTTTCATTTACCAAATCCCCAATGAACGATAGCGGTATTGGGAGGAAAGCGCTGCTGCACAATTGCTGTCTCCCCCTCTATACATCGACCATCAAAAGCCATTGTGGAATGCACAATGTAATAGGAGTGGTATCCTTGGCGCTCCTGTGAACGAGATGACGCAGCGCTCCTTATATTAGGAAACAATTTTGCTTTATACAGTTTTTGAGCTCTGAATTTAATTACAGAACTTCCTCAGCCATAACCCAATTTCTGTTGTTCCAAAGTGAACAAATTTAAAGACGGTTTGAGAGAAAATATTTTCGATTTTCTAACTTCTTCTCTGAAATGCTTCTTCAGCTCGCCATGAGCTTTTTCGGTAACGTCCATCCTTCATTTCAGAGACCGCGCCTAAAGTACTGTTGTTATATCATCTAATGGAGGCAATTTGGAATACCACTTTTAAATGTACCACCAACGCCGATATAAACAGCACCGCTAGTTCAGAGTCATATTCATTAGATAACACAGTTATGTTTTATAGCACACGAATAGTGGTAGGAGGTTTCACTCCGATTAGTAAAAATTGACAGATGAGTGCTCCTGACCAGTTTTATCAATAGAACTGAGGTGGTCTAAGAAACACTACCAATCGAAGGGTTGCAACGCACACTATAGAACTGAGTTGGTTGTAATGGATTTTCTAGCTTTTACAGTGCTAGATATTACGGGAGAGAACTAAGAAAACGTGGAACGAGAGGACACGAGGAAATCGAAAGGGCAAGAAAGCAAGCCCAATCCGAAATTGTCCAGGATTACTTGTAGCGGGAGAAATCAAATGAAGGGACTAGCTCGGAGTTCCTGACAAAGAATTCAGCAATGGAGCAGTGCTCATAAGAAGGTGGTGCTATTATTATCAGTGGGGAGGGAATGCCTTCTCTTTTAGAGCAAGCAATTTTAATTTTCAATTTTAGCAATTTTTTTGATTTTAGCAAATTTTTTAGAGCGCCGGAAAGTCATATTCGTAGATGAGATGTAGACCCCTCTCCAAAAATAGTAGTGGAAGACCCATTCCGCGATTGCGTAAGCGAGATGTGAGGAGACATTGTTAGATGGGCGCGTTGTATGTTGGATCCCCTGCTAAAGAGGGCAATACTTGGGGCCAATGATGAGGGAACTGAAATTCGAGCAGTATAAGAGCCATGAGGAAGCCATTTGGGTGGCGCCGCCAGCTGGAGGTGTGGTCAGGAAACACAGTGAATTACAGCCTCAGCTCCTTTATTACTCGCTTTCAAGCCACAAAAGTGGTACAGCTTTGCAGCTGTGCATGGAACTACATTGTTTGATTAAGAGATTCTACCTATCAGGTAATCGCGGAAAGCGTCGATAAGAGGAGGAAGTCAGCAAGAAGGGATGAATGGTTCAGCGCTCTTTTTCTTTCTGAAGCTTTTTGGGCTGATGGTGATGACCAAAGACATAATGACGAAAGAACTTCTCTGTTCATTAATGATTTCCAAACAAACATTCTCTTCTATGCACACCTACGATTTTACTACGATTACACACTCAGCCACTTACCTCACTTACTTCGTGGATCATCTAAAAATCAATGTAAAGCAAAGAACTCTGGAGGGAATAGGTAAAATAAGTCATCTAGGAGGGAATCGTATAAATAACAAATTCTGTTGTTCAGTAAAATTCTTGCACAAACCTTTTCGATGAATTCCACGCAACGAGCTAAAAACAATGGTATACCATCGTTTTTCTCAGCCAAAGTTTCCAGAGTATCGGTAGGGCTGACGACTCCTTGGACGTTCTGAAAAATGAATGTTGCGTATGGAGTGTCAATGCAGTCATCCCTGCAGATGATAGGACGGAGGTGTGATTTGAAGCGCAGCAAGGCCGGATTTTCCACCAACTGTAGTGCGGTCAAAATGACATGATTGGTAGAAAAGCTGCTGCCCTGGCTGGACTTTAGTCACACGCGTCAAACGCCTTATCGCTTGCACTGTAGATGAAGTACCGTTCACAGGAAACATACCTCAGGGGTGGTTTTATGAGTTCGCTTGGGAGATCTCGATGGTAGCCACGAAAATGCGTTGGTCGCTTTTTCCGACGAGGCTGCAACTAACTAAGTATTAGAGAAAAAGCTCAACACAACAAATAGCCTATAAGATGCGCTTGGCATGCAACTGTTTCACACCACATCATGGCTATCTCAAGAATTCTCTAGAAAAGAAGAAGTAGACGGGTTCATATCCCAGCTAAGGAAGAAGGCTGAGGTTTAAAGACAGACTGTACACTCCCTTAACTGAATCCTATCTTTGCCATGTGCCAGGTGAATGGGCCCAGGGGTGCAGTAGCTTGCCGAATTCTCCCTCTAAAGCACACGGAGAGCGAGAGTAATGATACCCGAGTGCCGTCTCCCTTGCTCCGCCCGCGGTACCCTCAAGGTGCAGCAGTTCCGTCCATACCAAAACCTGTTAGGGAACACGAAGTCAAAGGTGGAGAACAACCGCAAAAGAGAGGGCACAGACAAGGGGCACGGCAGGCGGAATCGAGAGAGGACGCCTGGGTATCACGAGCCTTCGCCTTCTGCCTATGCTTTTTGAGCGGAGATAGTGACATTAGTAGGGACCCGTTCACCTCACACATGGCAGGAACCAGGACCTGCGTTGGTACAGTCTGTTCCTAAAGAAAGCACGCATGCCACCAGTTCAACACACATTTATCACTCACGCACATGCCATAAAGTTCCAAACAACTTCAAAAACCGATGAGATCCTCACCGAGACATGCTGGCTTCTTCAATTTACGTTCGACATGCGGACTTTGCGGTAGCGATCGTGAAATGTTGACGGGCGCTGATACGAGCTTTTCAACGACGGGCTCTTTTTCAGGTTTCTTGAAACGGAACGACGTCGCGACTTTTCTGACGAAACGGAATTTCTTTTTCTTCTCGCCCATCAAGTCAGCGAACGACTCGATACTCAACGATTGTCGCAGCGTAGGTTGTTGCTGCTGTCCTCGAGCATAAATCTGACGGGCTTTTACCACCGCTTCCCGATTGATCACGTCCATCGTAACTGATCGAGTTGGCATCGAAGTCACCATTCTTGGGTTGACGATATTTGTCGGTTTCGGAGCGATTTGTGGTTTCAGTGGCGCAGTTTTAGCCGGACGGCGCTGATCACACGGCGATTTGGGTAACCAACGCCATTCGACGTTGGGCGACTTTGGCGCAAGCGACGACGCTTTTCGCTCGATCACTTCGTCCCGATGCATAGACGATCCTGTACAACACAACACTATACAACACAGAAAGCGAAGAGAAACCAAAAATGAACCAAGGAATGTGAATAATCTGCGAGGAAGAAAAAGTGTAGGTGGGCAATAATTACCTGCCTGAGGAAGGTTGAGATGGCGATGATGATGGTTCGGTACTGGAGTGATTCGAGAACATCCGAGATCGAAGGGGTCGCTTAAGAAAGAAAACTGTTTTTGATCTGCACATGAAACTTAACTAGCTGTGAAATACTATCAAGTAAATGTGGGCTAGCGGCAGGGCAGATTGGGCTGGTTCTCCGTTTCAGCACCTCAGGAGAAGAGGGTCGATGCTGACAAAACCCCGTTTGATTGCGCCACCCACCTGTTTAGTTTCGGATCGTAATCCGTGAGGCATCCGTATAACCCAAAAACATTCCCAAAATTCCCAACTGAAGGAAAAAGGATGAAGTGTTGCTTGATCGATCCCTTTTTGAGATGCGGCTGCATTCTACTTCCTTTCATGGTCGTAGTGGCTTACGCGTAGGCGATGTGACCGCATACCTGCGGGCGTCCAGTCGAAGAAGAACCAATTGTATCTACCCTGCCAGACAAAACCTGGTACCATCAATTTACGGCCCTTGGTGCTTACCGCCCCTGGTGGGTAGAAGGACTGGTTGGCCTGAGTGGAAACCGTGTCGGAACTTTGCTCCCCTGTCGACTGCGCGTATGGAAAACGTGCCACTTTGCCATTACACTGCCCTCGCCACCTGCAGTTGGAGGCTAGGGAATCTTCAGTGACTGTTGTGATCTTCTATGTCAGAAAGAATGGAGCGACGTCTGGCTTGATCCACTGTCAGTCACTGACAGTCAAGCCTGACACAGCAACTGACAGTCTGACAGCGGGCGGATGGCAGTACTAATGGTACAGCTTGGTAGCTGCGCTCCACGCAAGTACGGCGTATTAAAGTACATTTCACCGCTGGTTTGTATGGGCGGGGTTAGGACATAATGGGTTTTCTGCACCATAGATAGCGCGCTCTTCGCATTCCAATAACGGCGTGCGAGTCGGTAAGTGGAGGGCCGCCTATGTGATGAATAAAACGGCTGGACCTGTCATACGCCGACATGGATGGCGCGGATTGAGGCTTCAAGGTACATTCCATCTAATCCTGGGACGGAAAACTGGCACAAGTAGCCATGTGATAGATTCCAGAAATTAAAATGTAGGTATAGCTGCTCAGTTTCTCCGTTCGACTGTAAGCAGAACCAAGACTAGTGGGTTATTTGGCTGGGTAAGCGTTTGCAGGTGACTTGATGGGGTAACCAGTGAGGAGTCCATATTTTTCGCAGCAGTTCACGAGCAGAAGACTATAGTTTGCTGCGGATGAAAGGGGAGTATGTCCTGCAGGTTGCGGTTTGGCGCGGCGGCCGAGACGGTTCTCTAACTCAGTTGGCTTGAGGGGGGGTAAGTGAAAACAGGTGTCGAAAACAGTGATCGAATTATATGAGACAGTGCTGTCGTTTGGAGGGAAAGAAAGAAATGGGAGGCGTCGCGCCAAACGCAGCAGCGCTGACACGCCCCATCATCCGCAGCGAACGAGACTATAGAACCCATAATAAATCGAAATGTAATCTCAACGATGATTTCATAACAGCTTTTGAAAAGGTCACAAGTCGATTAATTGACCGCAGCTCACCCTCTTCTTCTTTTTTGACAGTACTCGTTTTCTTGTCGTCTTTCGGTGGAGTTGCTGGTTGCGGTCCCGAAGAGAAGTCGAGAGTGGCATAGATATGCTCATCGTTCCACCAAAGCATCCTGAAAATGTTGAATTAATGGCCGAATGCTGCGGAAATATCCCGCATGTTTGATTCCCTGAATCTATTGTTATATTCAGCTTTTCAGATTTGAAGGGGGAAATCGTGTATGAGTCCACTGGCCATTCCTCTTTACTTGGTTGCTGAGGCCGTAGTGGACAATGCAGTCGTTTTCGCTGCAGACTCTGTCTGGTGCGTCGCCAATCTAAATTTGCGCGCCAAAGCGACAACAACTGGTGGAGACGGGCCTGGCGCTGGCGCCAAAAACCGGTCCCCTGATCGCCGGGTTACAGCATCGTTGTGTCCAACCATGGGCCGGGTCGTACTTTTGGCTCTGGGGAGGGGGGGGGTTGTATTTGGTAAGCCAAATTTCTTTGAATAGGCATTGAAAGGGGGGGTCGTAAACTCGGCCCCCCCCGCTCGACAACTTTTTCGCCGACTATATACTCATCGCTCGTCGTCGGCGAAGAAGCCGTGGAGGTGGAGGGGGTCGTGCCTGGACCCCATTCGAAGGGGGGGGTCGTACTCACACCGACATTTCGCACATCCCCATTGCTGTACCCTGGATACGCCCCAGCGTACACAGCGAATACCTTATATATGAAGGCTTCGATATTAACCACGCTGAAACGACTGAAAGTTAATTCTGGAGCGATGTCGATCATTTCAGGAGTGGCCAGAGGAGCGGGCGCAGGTTTGTCCTGAGGGATTGGAAGACGAAGTGAGTTGTCATTGGAGCCACTCGACGACGTGGTCGCGACGAAGCGGTGCTGTAACCAGACAATGTAAAGAGGTACCCTGCAAATGGCGTCCGTTCTCCTCTACTGACAGGCTTCTCACCTCTGACTGATGCTCATCGCCGATATCGAGTTCCTCAGAGCTGGAGCTGAAGCCGCCGATGTTACTCGCTCCTGATGGCCAGATGAGAGCGTAGACTCAGCACTAGCTGATGACTCGGGATAACACGTAATTGGCTGAGTCTGAATGGCAGACCAAATTTGTTATACGAAAAAGTAGATATGACTAGTCTTCAACACAATTTTCGCAGGCAGACTAGTCATTCAACCCAACAATTTTCGCAGCCTTTAGAAAGTTTCTTGCAAGAAAACTGCTAAAAATTCTGCTTTTTCCTACGTTTACCAGGTCTACAACTGCCGTTGAGCAGTTTGACCGGGAATAAGTGAAGCCTGCTGCAAGCGCTCCAACTGCGACCGGAGAGCTTTCGCTCTCGAAAGACTCGCAATTCGCCGGCGACTTCGCTCAATGGTTTATCTCAACACATCTTTTAGAATGAATCTGGAGCTTCGAAAATTTTGAAGGCTTAAGCATAAATCAATAGACGAGAACAAACAAACAATAGTAAACTAGCACTTACGGCTCGTTCTGTAGGAGGCACACATATTATGGGTGTCCTTGTTGCAATCCTTCCGAAACCTGTCCCGATTACAGTCACCGAGGCTCACATATGGGTCACTGGAAATGAGACTTTCAAATTTATTGCAATGATAGGAATCTCGTCAAAGGAAAAATTCCAACAATACGAAAGAAACGGGTACGAAGTTCATATTGTTCGTTTACAATTAGGCGAAGCGAGGGGTCTTCTGTTTAGGCTTTTTGAAGTTGATGGAGGCTCAACTATTTCAGGGCAATAAACGAGTGAAAGCCTAATAACTAAGTTTCGTAGGATGCAAAAAAGAAGGTGGCGAGAACAGTTCAGTTATTACATTATCTCAAGAGGACTACCGTTCATTTTGAAACTTTCCGTTATATTCTTTTGAGGCTAGTACCACTGAGAAAAAAAAATCAAAGTTATGCCAGCCCCCAGAAAAATATTGCCTTGTGAGGATGAAGTGCTCGACGTAGCACCTTTTTGAGACTTCCACACAGATGGTAGTAGTTGTACGATCTACAAAATCTTGATCGCTAAGGATGGCTAGGCATTTCAGTGAGGCTGGGTTTGGCCCAGCCCCAGCCCATTCAACACTAGCTGTTGAAGCGGGTAAGCAATAGTAATTAGTGGAAAAAAGACAATTGATCTGGTACTGTCTGTTCTCGTATGCACTGTACGACTCCTGCCAGAGAACAGGCAGACTACAACATCGGGAATGGGCGACATAGCCGTGTTAGTGTGACCCCAAAAAAACCTCCTCTTCCGGTGCAGCCCTCATTTGCAACCTACCTATATCATTAGCAAATTACCAAGTTTTTACAGTTCCGTACCAATCTTCGAAAATTTTCCAGGTTTACCACAAAAACAGGTGTATGGAACGCTACTAAGGAGAAACTCGACAGCCGAAACACTCGCTTAGTGGCTCCGAAAATTCTGGCAAGGCGAGGTATGACCCCTCCCCTTCCCACTACCCAAGCGACCCACCAGTGAGATTCTCCAAACATCATTCCACCCTGATACCAAGAACAGCACGGGATTAGCGCTATGCTGTGAAGAAGAAGAAGAAAAGAAGGAACTCTGCTACCAATTTTCCGACCATGAGATGAAGCAACCCTACGGAATGGGGTCAGAGGTATCCGAGGAACGTCAAT